AAAGAGAAGAAAGGAAACACAACGGTTTCGGTTTCGGTTGTGGAGCCTACTTCGGGTGAGCCTTCTTTTGGTGAACCTTCACACCAGAAGAAGGCTCAACAGCCAAAACATTGTTTCTTTTCTTCTCTTTTCAGCAGGGAATAAACCTTAACTTGTTCCTATGCATGCTGACGCACCTGCCTACTTAAACTGAACTAAACTGATCTGAACCAGTGGGCAGCTAAGTACTGTACTTGTGCCTTACACATAATACTGTATGAATGTATCTGCAGCTTTCAATATGCTCCTGATAAGAATGGAGCTTTGATGTTAATATTCACATTTTACAGATCATGAGAAGATGGCCAGCTGGTGACCATCTCAGCACTGATAGTACCCAAATGTTTTATTTCTCCTTTACAGATCCATGCATCAATTTTCTGTTTTATCCCATTAAATTGATCCAGCTTTGCAGGGGAGCCAGAGCCTAATCCCAGCAAGTGTAGCGGAGCTGGTGTGGTGACGTCATCGCCCTCACTGCGCGTAGCAGGGACCTCAGCTGCCTGGGTTGAGGGAGGTCTCCTTCAGCTCAAGTGGTTGTTGCCCTGTTGTGTTATGCCGGAGACCCGGGTTCGAGCCACAGGTGTGGGGATGGCATGGGCGGCGGGGGGCACGACCCTGTGCGGAACCGTGACTATCACACAAGCGACAGGCAAAAGGCGGGATGTACCCTGGACAGGATGCCAGTCCATCACAGGGAAGACACACAGACACAACCACAGACACTTGGGGTCAGATTTCCCAGAATACCATTAAACTACCAGCATGTTTTTGGACCATGGGAGGAAACTGGAGCACCCTGAGGAAAACCATGTAAACATAGGCTGAACACACAATTCAAACAGCACACAGATAGAACTCCAGGTCTGGAATTGAACCCAGGCCCAGAAATGCAAGGAAGCAATGCTACTGACTACAGCACCTTGCTGCCCTGAGATTATTATTATCCTTTACAGATGCCTCAGATAATTTATCTGTCTTTTCCATAAGCTCCTCTCCAAGAATATTAAGTTCTTGAGTGGAGGTTTTCAGCTTTTTTCCCCGTTCTGTCACAATCTGAATTTCAGAAGCTATTTCCACAGAACACTTTGTCATCTGCTCTGCTGTCTGCCTTGGCACTTTAATTATTACACTGTTGTTTATTGGTTGCTTTGGCACCGGTATTTTTTTGTCATTTTTAACATACCAGTTAGATATAACCGTCATGTTATTTATTGCAACAATGGTTATGGTTTCAGCAATGTTTTATATAACACTTAAAACATGTGTGAATATATAGTTGGGGTCACTCCCTTAAAGGAGTCACTCGAGATTCATTCCACTACGTATTGGAAATACGTTTCAAACCCCAAGGAATCCCATAAGTAAGAAAAACAGAATGTAATCTAATTGTATAAAAAGAAGGATGACCCTGGTATATTAAAATGTGGCAGTCATTCTTGGAACTTGATAAACCCATCCGTACTGTATGGGTCTTTAAGAACATTAAAATGTCTTTATGAAAAAAATAACTGAAACTAACTTCCTGACTGCAGAGAGCTGTTATGTCAAAGAAATGTTAGTGCCATTTTTTCTTATAGCAAATGCATTTTTCTGTTGCCCTACAAATAGTTATAGTGTTAATAACTATGGCAGTGATAGGGCCATTATGCAGAATCCGAATTCATAATTTCAAATGCCTGCACATAAAGTCTCTTCCAGTCTCATAGGATTCACTCATTTTCCTCAAGGTCTCTCCAGGGCACAGCGCACCCCAGATTTAACTACGTTATGATGAATCGTAATTGAAAAGCCCCAGAGTACATCAGAAAATTAGGGACATCCAGGCACTCGTCCAATTTGGCACTCTGTAGCATAGCAGCACATTGAACTTCATTTGGGACTGCAAGCCATTCCACAAAGGGATTTCTAACAAAAGGCTCATTTTTAGGCCAATAGCCAACTGGGGGTGGGAGTGGAATCAAAGTACAAATAAAACAAACCTGAAGATGACGATTCATTTTGTCAATAGCGAGTGTGTACGAAATCTGGAGTAAGTGACCATACTTCGATATTTCTCTTTAGCTCTCTTAGTAATTTGAGAGTATTGTTTGAATCAATGCTTTCAAGACAGGGCTGTACAATGACCATGTATTGGATCGGACTGGAAGGATGGAGGGTTAAAGGTATTAAAAGGCATCAGTGCAAACTTTGTCCAGTTAATTTTACGTCTTGAGATGTCAATAAATTCTTCTATGGCTGTTTATAGTCATACTGTAGCATGCTGCACATTTGCAACATAAAATAGCATGTCATTTGCATATAAAGATACAGCATGCCTTGATTTAAATTTAATGGGAAGTACGATTGATTTCTGTCTAAAGCTCTGCACAATGGGTTTTAAGTGAAAGAGTAAATACCACAGGTGCCTGGTTTCCCTCCAAATATCAAAGTTTTGGAGTATAAGGAACCAGTTGAGACCATAGCAGAATGACTGGCATGCATTGTGCAAATTATATTAATGAACTTTTTATCTCAGTCAAAATCTCTCTAATAGTAGCAGGCAAAAAGTGTAAAAGTATAAGGGTTATAGCCCCAGTGTTCTGGGTAAGTTCCAATCCGGGCTTGCTCAAGCCTGCCTCGTAAAGTTTTTCCCCGAATTAAATTGGTGAAGCAATTTCTCAGCCTGGTCTGCTGTGTAGTAGGGCTACAGATGCATAACGGCTGCTGAGTTTCACCCTGTGGATACTGCACTTCAGTGGGAATACAGGCATGTAGAAAACACAGCCATTTATTTTTTACAGGTTCTATTGTTTCCAGAGCCCAGGAGAGACGGGTGCCTTTGTTACACATCGGCATGCATGCCATAGGTTTCAAGTCTCTCCCAATACCCCTGTGCAGTGGCCATAATTGTTTTAGGCATTTTTCTGGGTTTACTTTTAATCCAGCTTCAACAGGTCTGTTTATCAATCCGTGTTTGGTTAAATACTGTAAGTGTAAAAGTGAAACAGGTCCAGTGTTAATTCATAGCCTGTTAGTCTCTCTGATATGACTTCCGTTCCCTGTTGTAAGGCTAGGAACAGCTATGTGGTTTTCTTCTGGCTCCCTTCAACAGTGTAGGCCTTAGCGAAATCCAGTATTACATGTGCACATGGCTCCGTCTGCTGATGAAGAAATCCTAAGCCAGTCGTGTGCTACAGCAGCCCCGGAGAGGAGAAGCACATTAGACCTGTTCTGCACACTTGCCAGAGAGAAGATTTATGCTCGTACCAGTGCAGAACTTCATGAATTATCTGCAGCACAATGTAATGCTCCCTGCAGCACAATGCCCGACAACAGTCTTCACGAAGCAGAAAATAACACACAGGCATGACAGCATTCCTCCTTCTCTGAAATCGCACAGAATGTACTCAGTGTGGTTACATTATTATCTGTTTTTGTCTGATAGACTTCCTTCAGCTTACACATATTTATCACAGAGGGATTATCTGACAAAACCCACAAATAAATATTGCCACCTTCTCCAAGAGTTCCAAAGACGTTAATCCTCCTTTCGTGACATAATAACAGAAATTATTGTCACTGACACGTGTCCTTGATCAAGACAATGTAGCCTTCTCTGTATTCCAGTCAACATTTTGGAAATAAAGAAACAGATTCAGTATAGTTTGTGACCACATGAAATAAGAAAAAACTAATTTACATGTAAAAAGTGGATTGAACGTCCTCCGCTCAACTGCTTAAGATAATATGGAAGCATTATAGAAACTTATTTTCCTTCAGTTCACACTTCACCTATCTTTTCTTCACCTTTTCGTTCACAGTCATGTTTATGCTTTGATTGTAAGGGCTGTTTTTATGGAATATAGATCCTCTCAGCACAGTCCAACATGCAGTATGTATCCCAGGGAATGCCAAAGACTGTACATATGACAGATAAATACTCTTCTGTGAGCAAAAAATATTTTTGTGGCCACTAGCATATATAAATTATATATGAGGTATATTAAAATATTCTAGTACACACATGATTTATTCAAAACTACATTCTATTATGCATTTTTGCTTTCTGGCTTTATATTGTAAAAGAAAGGGCAGTTTTTCTAAATCTGTACTGTGTAAAAGCTGCATACAGAATAACACTGCTTTTCAAGTCGGTATTTTTCAGTATTATATACTGCTTGTTTTATAAAAGTTGGATATTCTTCCTCAGGAAGACATACTGACATTAGCTTTCAATGGAGTATTCAAAAGAAAAAAAAATGCAATAATAACAGCAATACAAAAAAGTTAATCATGAGAAGCAATATTTTGATTTTGGAAATCTTATCAGCTAAAAATACACATTAAATACAAACTAGCAAACAACTTGTAAAAAACATGTTTTCTTGAATAAGTACCTTCAGATTTGGAGAAAATATGTGTATAGTCATATCTACACTTGCACGATATTAATTAACACCATATGAATTTGGTCATAGAGAACGTCAAAGCAGCCAAGAACACCTGTGACAGCAGTAAAATATGTATATATCTATTAAAATAGCAATGAATTATGTTCCTACGTGGGGGGGGGGATATGATTTTAAGGTTTTCTATGAGAGGCACCATGCAACAGGGATGAGTGAAGAGACCTATTTCCTCTTAAATGTCTCCACATTGTTTCTCCTTATTTAACTGAATGTAGTTAAACTCACTCACCGCAAAAGGCGGTGTTGCAGCTCAAAAAGAGCCTCAGCAAAGAGTCTCCTCTTCTTACATTTTTCATCCAGCCTCAAGGAATAATTTCAGAGCTGCACGCTCGTTTTCAAATGGCTTAAAGTCCACTGAGCAGACTCTAAGAGAAGGTACAACGGGACGAAATGGAGCGCGTGACGTCTGTCTGACTAAGCTTCTGTGAGAGGAAGAAGATTTGTGAAAGCCCAGAAAACTACGGAAGGCTCGCCCTGGGGCTGGTGCGCTGCGGGCACGCAGTCCCTTACCTTGACTTTCTCAATGTGGTCCTGCAGGGAGTCGATGAGCAGGTCACCCACGGGCTGCCAGGACTGCTTGACCATCTCCGCCTGGCGCAGCTTGAGCTCCAGCTCATCCGCCGCCTCCTGCAGCTCCAGCAGGCGCTCCAGGGCCCCGTCCAGCCTGCGCTGCCAGTCCGCCGCCCGGCCCCGCAGGCCCTCCCAGCCCGCCCGCACGTCCTCCGACTCCTTCCTCAGCACGCGGCTGATGTTCTGGGCTCGCTCCTCGGGACTCACCTCTGGAGGGACCGACAGTTACACCCTCGACACACTCCTAATCCATGCGCCGTGAGAAAAGCTCTAGGGAGACTGCCCTCAGAACCAAGGCTTTGCATCCTAGTCCATAGCCTTAACACAGAATGGGTAAAGTTCAACTAATATGTGGCCTTGTCAGTCAAGACACAGCTCAGGAAAGCAGGACAGAGTGAAGAGGAAGGTAAACTAGCTTGCATCCTAGGCCTGGGAGTTCTGCAGTGTGGAATGCACTTCATTTGTTCAGGTTTTTATTTTAAATACTCTGAACGTGCCTCATAATGTAGTCTAGATTGAGACCGAACTTGTGTTTTGTTATGTATGATGTTGTCTGTAAGTCCACACCGCACCGAAGATCATTGTGAGGTCTGTAAGGGTAATGAAGTGCTCTGCTCAGGACAGGTCTGAGGAATAGAGCAGCGAATCCAACAGGCTTTAGGATTTTACAGCTTGTTCCACATGGTTAGAAAAAGGCCCAAACTCTTCAAGCCCTTGTGTCAGCACTTTTATGCTATCCCACAGAGAATGCTCGGTCCGATACCACTGCAACAATTTTTGTTTGCATTTCTGTTCTGGGAGCATTCAAACATAGCCCTACCAGGAGTGTTGTGGCACGACCTGCTCTTTTTTTGTTTTGTTTTATTGTTCTGCAATTACCTCTCTGCTCTTGCTGGAGCCTTGCTAGCCCTTCAGCTGGCTGTTCGGCTAGAAAAACCCGCACTGCATCCAGGGCATTGGAGACCACCAGGTCCTTAGCTTTCAGCTCCCTCCTGAAAGCCTGCAATAAGGCACACAGTCCAGATTAACGTTTGGAAAAAAAATTGAAAAGTTAGTTTTGTGTGTATATGATCTGGAACTTCAGTAAGAAAAGGAGAAAAAAAAAAAAACACCGTCAGACTTTTCCAAGGCAGCTCTGTGTCAGGATACATGGGCTTTGCAGCACTGGCCCTCCAAACCAATGTGGAACGCCCACGTTTTTCTAAGCTTCCTTCAGGTCGGTCACCGTGCTCACATTGTTAGTGGCAGGCCGGGGAGGTCCATGTCACTGGCAGATGTCGTTTGCACACAGAACATTGTGGGAAGCGGCTGTGAGAGCTAACCTCTGCCATATACAGTAAAAACATTCCTAGTCATCACTTGAGTCGAGCTGAAGGAAGGGAAATGCTGTGAAGAAGCATATCGATGCCGCACTGTAACACTTCGACAGGGAGAGAAAGGGTTTCCATGACGTTCTATTCTGTTCCAGCGCGCACTTCTTGCCAGTCATCTTTGAGAGGTCCTTTCAGACTGGGGTTACTAATGAGAGAGCAACATGCTCTAGCCACATGGAACAAAACAAAATGACAAGGCGCGCATGAAACAAACTGTGCTGGAAATTAAGTAACAGTAGAATGCAAACACTATAAACTATACCTTTAAATGAAATGACATGTCTTTCACCTCCCTAATATTCTACTAGAATAATGCAATTATGCAATTAAAAAGCAGACCTGTAGAGAAACTCTATTTCCATATTGCTAATAAATTCCAACTGGACTATATGCAGAAACTAGTCTTGTAATTATACTATAAATAGCAAAGTATGTTCTTTCAATGTGCAGGTGGTCCGTTTGTAAAACCTGCATGGCAGACAACCCACCGCAGGTGCATTCCTATATCAATGTTTCAGGCATTATTTATAGTTTACACTATTGGAATAATAATGTCATCATTAAAACTGGTAAATGACAACAATATTGAACAGTTTTAAATCATACCATTTAAACCTATCAGTTCCCCCTTTTAGACAACTAATAATTTAGAATACATTTTGGAAGTACTTGTGAGGACAGCACACTTACAATCGCAGGGGATTATCTGAGATGCTTTTACCATCTGTAAAGCAGACATGTTCAAAATGATACTTGTCCTGTGACAAGCTTTGATTTTCAAGGTGTTTTAATGACTTTCTTATATTCGCTGGTCTCTGAAACATTACATACAAATGAATGCCTAGCAGGGTGCAGTGAAATTTGGCAATCTAAAAAATTATCAATAAAAACTAAAAAAAGAACATGAAAAATATTTTTGAAGAACTCGGAGTGCTACGTGCAGACAAGGCTTTCTTAACGGTCATTCTCATATATTCTCTTTGCCAACAGCTAATGGGAGGGCAGAGGAAAGCTGTCATACTGTACACCCTCACATTTTAAACGTGACGCGTCCTTGTTTCACAGAGAGCTGAAGTCACCAGCTTCTCTGATGTTTTTCAGAACATCATTACTCACCCGTGTCAAATCAAGAAAAGGCATTTGGATTTCCCTGACCATAGGACTTGTGTGGTGATTTTTCTGATGAAAAAGTTAATCTTTTTTTCTTGCTGAATGCTTCGTTTAAAGGGTTGTCTCTTGAGCCAAACAATCATAGAATTCTTTCAGTGTCATGATATTCTCTATACTGTACTGCACACTGTACACTGAGTGAACGCAGGCAACACTTTCTTTGCCAGATTAACATTCGACAGAGTTACAGTAAAATAAGAATAGCATCACTGCCTGGGTGACAGCAAGGGGGCAACATACTTTCATCTCTACTTTTCAGGCGAACAATCATACCACCATCTATTATCAGCAACATATTTGTTAACACTCACTATACTAGCTTATAATAACCTGTAAAGTAAAAATTGTCTGAATAAATGCCCCATAGATTAGTCAGTAAATGGTGAATAATCAACTGATAAGGCACCTGAAAGCAGGGAGTGGAGCAGAAGTAACCAGGTTATTTCAGATACAGAGACTGTAAATCAGCCATTCATTTGATTTTAACCTATTCATAAGCCAGCAGCTACTGTATATCATCCTGCAACTCATACAGTAACTGGCAATCCACTGAGAGGGACACTATACTGTAAAAAGACACCGTCCTTCAGCTGAGACATAAGCTGGTGTGTGGGGAGTGTACTGGCGCACTCTGGCTCCCGTCTCACCATCCAGATGATGCTGCACACTGGGGGTGGAGGGGATCCCCATTACCTGTAAAGCACTTTAAGTGGAGTGTCCAGAAAAGCGCTATATAAGTGTAAGCAATTATTAATTATTATTATTAATAATGAAGTAATGGAGCACTTACAAGAGATTTAATCACTAAAGAAACTTTCTATAGTCTTTTTCTTGAAGAATTTTCTTTTTTAAGTATTTAACCACCACATCTGCTCCATAATAGATATTATGTTGTTATTCAGATATCCACTGCCTCTTCCCAGGACAAACTATCGTGACAAGCACTGCCACAAACGAATAACGCCTCGAGCCAGAGCTGCTCACCCGGTGAGTGTCCAGCTGCTTCTGCACGGTGGGAACATCGCCCCCTATGGGCTTCTGTTGCGCCAGCTCGTCATTCTTCAGTTGGAGCCAAGCCAGAAGCTCCTGTAGAGAGAGGTGGAGCCTCTTCCATTGCTCACTGCTCGCCTCAAGGTGGGATCTGCAGGAAGCACAGAACAAACCCCTGAGAACCCGCGGGTACAGGGAGAAAGTGGAGAAAGCAAAGCACGAGCTGATCGTGTCTATGGCACCTTCGTTCAAGGGCACCCGATCAAACTAAATCCAGGGCAATACATAGGGAGGATCAGGGGCCTCCAAAAGCTTCCGTCTGCCACACCTCTTGGAATTCTCCAAGCTGAACCTGGGACAACATGCAGGTGCTCTGCTGCACCAGCAGGATGATTTGCATGCTGGCTCTCGCCCTGAGTGGTGTCTCGTAATCTACAGTATGTTTCATCAATGAACTCTGTGTGATATAATGGTAGACCTGCCACAGTGCAAATCTGTCTAATTACTATATATGCAGTAACCTAATTAGCACCTGTACTGTACATTGAATAATGAAAGAAATTGTTTGTCTTACGTTTAGTAATAAAGCTCTTACCAGGGAAATTGATTGAGAACAATATCTCACTGCCTTAGTGTACAATGACAACAGGGAGTAAAGGGGTACTGGAGAGTATCCTTTTACATGGCAGGACATTTGACTGGAGCATTCAGGGTGAAACACCTTGCTGAACGGTGTAGCAGCAGCTCCTCATCCAGGACCTGAACTCACAACATTGGTCCTAGACTTAGTCCAGAGCACCACACACTATTTCTGTATCACTATAGCTGATGTTGCTAAAATTCAGTTTCTAACGTTAGTTAATAACTGTCCAACAAGTACACGTTTTTTTAGTTAAGCCATAATTATGTTACCTCCATTTTCCTATTACAATGGGTATTTTCTCATTTGCTGCATGGTCTATTAGATAACTCTGCATGATAATCAGGGGCTATTTCTAACAAAACTCATATTGCTATCTTATGATTTAAGTCCACACACGTTTTAGAAGGACATCGGAAGACATAAAAAGAAATTGTGCAAGGAAGGTAAATCAGTATTTACACATACAGTATAAACTAGCTGAGACACTGCACTAAAAGTGATTTTCAAGTCTTTTCTCCAGCTCATAATTTTCTGCCCATTTACTGAGAGTTTGTAAGTATTTGCAAATTGAGTTAGAAATTGAGTTGGTTTGCAGGATGGAAATTCAATTACTTTTACTGTAAAACGGTTTTAGGAAATTAATAGAAGTTCATATTTAGAAAATAGATTTTGAAGTGAAGCCATTACAAGCCATGAGGCTTCAGTTAATTCATAGTGACTAGCATTCTTTCACTATCTCACAAGCTGTCTGCTTAATGAAGCAAATTACAACTTAATTCTTCATAATATTTGAAAACAGGAAGAAATTTTATACACAGTGTGTATAAACATACACTAACAATATAACTAATATAACTTTATAAGTTATATTATATTATAAGAAAACCAGTACGCAAGAATTCTAAGTAGTGTGCAGAATACATTCTTGTAAAGAGCTGGAAGTACAGTAGCTGTACAGTATATGGTGAAAATTACAAATTTATCATTATGGGTCCCTACTACAGTGCAGACACCTACAGAAGAGAAGCAGTTGGGCAGCATTTCCAGAGCCAGAGATCAATAAATAGCATGACTTCTGAGAGCTTAACAGCAACATTCATCTACATACACGTACAATAGACAGAGCCAAAAATCAAAGCTGTTGATGCTACAGTGCAATTAAAAAGGTAGTACTGATTTCATAGAAAAACAACTCATTTACTTTTGACACTGTAAAAGTGGCAATACAACACTAAAATCCCCTGAATTGTTCACAGATACAGAGGATAAGTCTTGTGAAATAATAAACCACCTGAGATGTGTTCTTTGAAATTCATAACACCTATTTACAAAGTTTTTTGCAGTGTATTCCCAGTCATTACAGTTTCCACTCAGTGCAGAAGCTGCTTAAGTCAAAACAATTTAGGTGTTTTATCCAACATACAAATAACTCAACTAGTACTTGTGATGGTACACTGTTAATATGATTTTTTTAAATGAATAACTCTCTGGAGGGAACACAAGGACTAAAGGGATAAAACAATAAAGATGGCTTTTTTTCAGGAAGCTGTCCTTTCAGTCCTGGCTTCACACTGGCATTTCTGCTCTGCCCTTTTGTTATTTCTGCTCATGTTCAAGAGATTTCCTGCCAAAGGGTATTTGCATCTCAGCAGGTTGGTCTGTCAGAAACACATTTTAAATACATTAAATGAATAACCATATTAGTTGTTACAAGGGTGTGGAGCTCTGCGTGGAGATAATAAGAACAACAGGAGCCTTCAGCCAGAATGAAGAATCGGACTCCCCAGATGTCCTGGCAAGATTCACCGTAAGGAGGAGTTCCAATCCAAGACACAGACTGCACAGCTCTGAGGCACAGAGCAGTCTGCGATGCTGAGCTCCAGCCCTACACTTTAATTGCAGCATGCTATACATATATTGTATATATACAGTATACAATGATCCACTGAGATGGCAGCACACCTCATACTCTGTCTACAAAAGGTTTCCCCTGTTCAGCACAACACATGTCTATTGTTTTCAGAATTGCTGTGTGGACAAAGGAGTAGTTTGATTCCTGGCAAACACAGCCACTGCAGCCTGGTTATCTGGAACAGGCACTGTAGCTGATGTTAACAGCACTGAAGGACTTGGGAAGATAGGTTAACATCATCATTTTGTTCAGATGGCACGAAATGTCGGAGCACATAGAAATTAAACAAGAAAGATGAAAGCTGAAGGAATAAACTAGGATAAAGGGTGGAAAACGATATCTTGATATCATTAAGCACTTCTTCAATTGAAGGCATTGGAGAGACAAGTAATTTACCCATATTTAGTGAAGTATCAATATTAAGCAGGTGAAGGCTGCTTATATTCATCTATAAATCTGATGGGATATGTGACTAAAAGATGAAAGAGTGAGAAATGCTTGAGAAGGAATTGTAATTGAGTGTGCTTTTATTCTCTGTTTAATCTTCTTTAAAATGTTGTGATATTGACACTCAGTGGCCTAAACGTATGACGCAATGGTGCAAAGAAGCGCTTTAAAACTTGTTCTTTTTCTTATACTTGTTAATGCCTCGAGACATGCACTGATGATCCAAAACAGTTTCCATGGAAACTGAGCCAGATCTTGTGGCAAGTGAGAGACTAAGTGCACTGAGCCTCTAGTCCTTTAGGAAGAAACGAACAGACAGAGAGCCCAAGGGTTAAACTCCCTGCTATCGGTGGACAGTGCCAGGAGCTCAGCTTTCCATCCAGAAGTGCTGGTCTCTCCACAACCTGGACTGTGTTCTTAAGCATGGCACTGATAACATCCAGAACGAAAATGTCTTTCCCACTCAGATACTTTAGGAACAAAGCCTTCATTCAGAGAGTGCTGGAAACCCATCTTGCCTCTGTCTATTTTGACAGTATTTCTGATATAAAGCTCCTGCTCTGTGCCATGCCAGTGGAGTGCACAGACCCCCTCGCTGGGTGACATCAGATCTAGACCTGCTCTGCAAACAAAAAAAACTCTGACAATGTGCTTTCCTATTTTCTTTGTTGTAGTGATGCACCAAGTGTAAAGTAATGACAGGTCTCTATTGTTGTTAAAAATGTCAAGTGTTTCATAACTTCTTAGGAGTGCAGAGAATAATAATGGGCTGTCTAAAATGGATAATATCTCATAGTACCAAGCATTTCAAACTCAACCTAAAAACGGGGTTATGGGTTACTTGGTATTCAAGCTAACAATATGAAGCAGCTCAGGCGACATAATGTCTATCATTATCTATCTTTTTTAAAGTGTTGAAATGTAAGTTTGTAAAATACAAAGTGTTTCAAACTCATAAACACAGAACCTTATGTCCACCTTACTATTATGAATATTATTAGAGTTCAATGATATGTAAGTTACCCATTCCTTGTTTGTAATATCATTCGATTTTCTTTACAATACATGAATAGTGTATATAACATTGTGGTGAATAGCTCTTGATTAACCTCTCCAAATGTGAAAGAGTCTGAATTCTCTAATTCGCAAGAACTCTAATTAATTGGGCTTCCTCTTTTAAGTGTAGCTGCAAATTTCTTTTCAAATAAGACTCTCTTCAGTGTCTTTATCTTCTCATTCTACCAAATCTACTTTCACTGTCATTAACGAATCAGCCACATCCCCTGCATTTTGTGAGCAGAGCTCCACCAGGGAAAGGATATTTAACCTGACATATTTAAAAGAATATAAGTCACGGGTAGCAAAATGATTAGTCCCTGCAATTTAGAGATAAGATAATATTAAACGCACTTAACTAAAGATGTTGCTTTGAACTATTTTTATGCTTGAGAAGGCATGCAAAACTACCTCTAGAATGCTGGGAAAGGGGACTGGGGTTAAAGGCTTTATGACCATCCTTCCACACTCAGACTCTTACTAAAATTACAGAAGCCAGCAGTGAATAAAATACAGGAATGTGGGATGAAGATTTTAACCAGTGTCTTATTTGTACCACCTTGTTGGTAGCATAGACCACAGAGACAACAGACAATGAAAGTTTCTATTACCTCGCTGTCACTCGTCATTTCCTTTCCACTAAAACCTACTCACCTATTTTTACACACACACCAACTTTTGTCTGTTATTGATATAAGAACATAAGGATAAAGAATATAAGAACAGCACAGTGCACAAAAACAGAATTTGCTCTGTTTTTGGTTTAAAGTTAATTCAGGAACTCCAGCTGAAACAAGCAAACGTTGAAACGATCTCTACACTTTCTTGCTGTACAGCACAGAGTACTTGCTGTACAGTAAGTGTGTTTTAGAGAGACAGCTGTATATTGGTGTTGTAGCAGTCCACACAGGACCTGTTTATACAGTAGGATGAAGCAGGAATAGGAGAAGAGTACTGCACCTTGCTCCCCAGTCCTTCAAAGAAAACATTTTCACTTCCTCAAGCCCGTTGTCAGTATAATGTGCTCTGGGAGTCTTATCAGCACAGACATAAGAAGGAAAAACAAGAGAAGACTTCACACACGCTAGGAAACAGTGGGAAGCATGCCACTGACCTAATGCTGATAGACTTCTTGCGCAGCTCGTTCCACCTGACATTCATGTTATCCAGCCGTCTCTGCAGCAGTGTGGCGTCTTCAGACCCTTCCAGGGACTTGAGGATTCTCTGCCCATTGTCGTCCAGAGTGTGGAACGTCTCCGTGTGCGCCTCGATCTCAGCCTGCAAGTCCTACACGCACAAAAGCAAGAACCACCCTTTCTTTAGCCAACATTAATCTTTTTCACACACTTTCACTTTTTAAAATGTTGCTAATTTCACAAGGAGTGACAAAAAATCCAAGGTGAAAGCGTCATGGAGCAAAATTGTGGCTTAATCTGCTTGGCTGAGGGTTGGCCTCCCGGCCTGAGGACATGGAGGCCAGGACCCCCCTGCAGGGTGACCAAGGGGCATCCGCAGAGGGGGAGAGGGTGAGATGGGGTGGAGGTGGAATGCAAGAGCCGTGCAAGAGAGAGAGATGGGGATCTCATAGGTATTTATAGCGTTTGGGAGAGGAATGGATTGTCAGGAGCAATTGCTAATTACTGACAGCAGAGTCTGATTGAGCTTGGTTGTTGTCATCCCTCCCGAACCTTTGTTATAAATTCCTTTTTTTTTTTAGAAAACAATTAAAGGGGAGAACAATGCATTCAATATACAAGAAGACATATAAAAAAGGTCACAAACGTAATGAGGCCATTCAACCCCTCTTGCACATTTGGTAATTAAGTAGCTAAGTGAATTGAAATATTTTCCCAAGAATATTTTCCCAGAATTTGGGCCTCATCTTTTTTGGAATTAGGCTCCAGATACCTACAAATCTAAGAGTTTCCTATTCTCCATTCTCCTAATCGAATTTCCTTTTAATTTCCAATTGTGGCCTCAGTACTTCACTAATGAGGTTTAAACTTCCCCTGTTCCCTGGGCTGACCATATTTATACCACCGAGCATCTTACATACTTGGATCAAAAATCCTTCTTGTCACCCTCCTTTGAGTTTCTCCCAAGACGATAATATCCCTTTCCTGGTATGGTGTGAAAAGCTGAAAACACTATTATAAACAAGGTCTAACCAGCACATTGCAAGACTTGAATGATTTCCCAGGATTTCAATTCCACACTTTTTGCCATGCACCCAAGCATCTCTGTTTGCTTTGTTATTGCTTCCCCACATTGTCTTGATGAGGACATAGAGTCCTCATCAAAATACAAATGGCACAACTACAAAACTAAACATATTTCACAATAATAAACTAATGAACATGTTCTGGCCATTTATCTTCTGTCCTTGCTAAGCCATACAAACAAACACACAAGCATCCACCCATTTTCTATCTGCCTAATCCAATACAGGGTTGTAGGGGAGCCAGAGCCTATCCCTGCAAGCAACAGGCACAAGAAAGAAGACTCCCTCGACGAGACGCCAGTCCATTGACAGGGCACAGACACAGACACACACGAACACACATCGGGGCTAACTTTCCCAGAAGCCAATTATCTTACCAATTATCTTTAGACTATGGGAGGAAACTAGAGCACCTGGTGAAAACCCATGTAAATACAAGGCAAACATACAAACTCCTCACGGCACCAAAATGCTAACTACTGTGCTCCCATGATACCCCAGCATCCATGCGGTTCTGCTTATTCTCACCTCAAGCACTCCCAACAAAATGAAAGTCGAACTCGGTGAACTTTATCAAAAAATCGCTAACAGATATTTTAATAATATCCGAGTTAGTACATTACTAGTACAACAGAAGTGTAAGAAAAGTCACACTTTTGTATTGATTGAGCCCTACACAGTACCAGACATTACCATGTACATTCCAAGGACAGCAGAATGCACTACACATTTGTAATAAAATCTTCTTTGTAGACTATTCTGTCGAAGTCGAAGAGGTGTTGAGCATCAGTGCACAGCTTTGATGCTCTATTGTTGACCCAGAGGCCTTGTGGTTCTCTGTCACTTGTTTTTCATTGATGACGTGTGTTTTTAACTTTGAAAACTATTTGTAAACACATGGGGCAGAAAATGATAAGCCCTCTGGTTACTGCATCAGCCCAACAGGATCACAGCATGTACAATGTTTGCAAAAGATTGACGTTGAAACTTACAGGATAGTTTTTTCCCCTTTCATATGAATTGAAAGGAGCTGAACATTTAGACTGGTGTTTTTCAGAATCTATAATGCATCAGAACAATGCTATTATCCATCCCGATCTGAGTGGAATATTTTCCAGTGACCATAACTGCAGCATATAAATCAGTTCAGAAAGACAATGGCTTTTTACATGGTTTCTTTGACCTGCGTAGTAGGGCTGGAAACTGGAGAGAGAGAAAGAATGCCTTGTTGAAATCGTGAAGGAAGAGCAAAGCAGACTTTACTGAATGCCCTAACACTAGCTTGTTTTATGAAAGCCTGCAATCTTTAGCCACATAATTAGAGATCATTTGTCATTGAGTATTATTTTATTATTATCTGTGAAGTGCCTTATTTTGAATGAAAGCACTAAATTAATAAAATGCAACATATAACATACAGTATATTTATCTCTGTTTTTTATTGTAGAAAGTTATAAATTAGGTATTTCTACAAATCAACAGTTTGTAGGTCTAAAATGCACACAATATGAATGATTAAGAAGGAAATCCTACCAGAGCACTAAAACATTGCTTGGTTAATTAAAAAAATAATTAATATTAAAACCAGTTTTATTATTTTCAGCTTGTTCTTAAAAATTAAAGCAACTTATGATGTACTGCACATTTATCAATATATTAAAAATAACCCTACATAGAGCTCAAAAGCCTACACAAACACAGCTCAATATCATATTTATGATGTCCTTTTTTCAATGATGAAGAATGTTTGATTGCGACTTAATACTTATAAGCCAAAAACTTTAATTCAACAGATTTAAGGAATGCCTCATTTTGTCTAAATTGTTACAAACAACAAAAACCAGAACCGCTATCATGTTAGAAAAAAAACATCAAATTAAGCCTGGAAGAAAATGTTTAAAGACCTTCTAATACGCATCCTGTTAAATCCTTTGCAGCTCAGGTGTTTAAGAACTGAAAGAAAAAAGTCACTCCTCTCACATGTCAACAAAAGATGCTAATTTAGATGACAGACATAATTACATCCTGGAGCCTCGCTGGAGATCCAGAAGGACAAACGTGCAAGTTTCCCAAAGCATAACAAAATGACAGAAGTGGCTGTGATCTCTGACCTTGACGTTGTATGTTTTCCTGCGCAGCATTTTTCAGCCTCGGGAGAACATCGAAGCGAGTGCTGTGGAGGCATGCATGGCCCATCGAGCCACCAACTCCAGACTGACTCGGCCTCTTTCCGCCCCTCTTCTCTGGTGTGTGCGCTTAGTTACGTTTTGCTGACAGAATATAATTAAGCGCACAAGGCCTACGAGTCAATAATACACAGCCACTTTGTCATTTGTATGAGGTGGGGTGGAGCAAAAAGAAGACAAGGCACTGAATGTAGGAGGCTGTGAGAATGAGAGACACTAAATAGGCGAGTGACAGCCTGAGTCTGAACAAGCTCTTCTCTTATCGCTTTATAAACTGGTGGGCGACGTTTTCTTTTTTTTTTTGTTAATTTAAAAAGAAATTTAGCATTCTTGCCAAGAACGAATTCCATCTACTAAAACTTCCAGAAAAAAAGAAAAGAAAATCTAGTTCTCATTCCACATCTTCTGCGTTCTCCTCAAGCTCTCATCACAAATTTTATCAAGGCTTCTGACTTTAAACTGCTCATAGCCACTACGCACAAAGTGTTTGCCAGCCCTTGAGGAGGACACAGCTTATTTCCTTACTAGTGCAACTAGCTGCTTCTTCGTCTTCAGAGCAGGCAGTTTTCTCAAGTGGGAATCGGCCTGCCTCGTGAGTCACTGAACCCTTTTGCTGTTCTGGAAATTGGAAGTTGAAAAACAACACCACCACCGCAGGTCTTTAAAACACAGGATCAAAAACTGTTTGTAGTACGACTTGTCAAAACTAGGCCAAGGACCTACTTCTGAGGAGGTTCTCTACTACAGCAAAACTGCAATTACAGTTCTGGGCCTTAATGCCGTAAGCAGATTAATCGACAAGAAACAAAACTTGAATCTGCGATAGTCACGACATAAAAAACACTACAGGCCCAGTCTTTCCTTCAGTTTGGATTTGACAGTTATTTTTATTCTGCCCTCCCGATGTGAGTCTAACCTGTGATCCCTGCAAGCACACAGCACAGAGTGAGGAGGTGTAGAAGGACTCCAGCCCGCCCACCTTTGAGCCATTTGTCTCTGGAACAGATGTAGAGGTTCAGCGCCTCTTAGAAGAGAGGTATGTCTCTCACCATCAGCATAGGATGCTTGCAACCACCTGAGAGTCCACACTGGTTGCTATGTTACTCAGAGCCCAGGTGCACTAATTATATTTTGGTGCCTCTTGTGCATTGCAGCACAGGGAATCCCAGTCATAGTCAGCTAGTGACATTACTCAGGGTCATATTTAAGTGATGCAGATGTTCAATCTGAGTCGGGCAAAAACTGGAGAAAAAACTCCAGATCTCTCTTTTGTCCGCATATCACTGAACAAAAGACTAATAATCTGCGCCAAAGGCAATTTTGTGTTAAAGGAGACTTCTCCACAGATCACCACACTTCCTTTCCATAATGTTATTCTTTGTCTTATTTTGTTCCTTAGGTTTTGGCTGAGCTCTTCACACAGCTTGGTATATTTTAACCTAGTAATCCTATATATTGCAATCAACTCTGAATCATAGTAAAGGCAATGGTGTTCAACTGATCTTTAAACATCTTCTTACCTGTTATATAGGCATATGTGCTGTACCAAAGATAAATAAAGCTGCGAATTTTGCAATAACAATAAAAAAAATTATGTAGCACCTTTAACAGTGAAGATCTTAAAGTGCTTTTCAACACAAAAACCAAACCAAAAAAAAATTCAAATTAAAAGCACAAAACTACTTATGAGTCAAACGCCTTTCTAATATGGCATGTTTTCAGGCTAAATGTAATGTCGTTCATTGTGGCTGAGTTTCTTTCTTTTGGTATGGTGTTTTACAGCTTTGTGTCTGATTTTAGGCTGAAACCTGCAATCTTGCAGCACCTGAAAAAGCAGTGATGACTTCTTAAAACAATAAATTAAAATACAATAAAATAAA